GTGTGTGTGTGTGTGTGTGTGTGTGTGTGTGTGTGTGTGTGTGTGTGTGTGTGTGTGTGGGCGGGATTTGGCGTGAAAATGACTTAGTGCGAGACCAACACCTGCGCCAGATTTTGGAGCAAAGTGTGTGTCGCTTGGACCCTTGTTTCCGCTGCGCTTCGACCTTCGCTGTTGCTTTGTTCCAAGACGATTCGGTCATTACATTCACACACTTCGACCCTCCCTTTACGACATCCTGCGGACCGAAACCACCTCAGCGAGACTTCTCAATACTTCATAGCTTCGGCTCGTCCGCCAACGTGTCGCGCTGATTGGTGCTGCTCCGTTAGAAGGACGTCTCGCGGGCCCCCCTACCATCACCTTCGCCTGCCATTTGCACCCTACATCATCCAGAACGACCACTTCTTCTTGCGTAGCAGCGACGTCTGTAATTGATCGCAGCTACAATCAGCACACAGCATCAACATCGCTCCTATGTTCAATCGATGCTCTCGATGCTTGGCCCACCGTACCGGATACCAGCGAGCCTGACCACTTCCTCGCCTCGACCACCTTCTTCGATTTGCTTCAATATACCGCGGTTTAGGCCATTATGTCTTCTTCAATATCACTCAACGCGCGAGCAGGTCCGAGTCGCCAGACTGGGAGACCCTCACTTTCCACGAGAAGCGATCGGATTCAGGCTGGCTCATCTGTCCATACTTCGCAAACCGAGGCAGGTTCATCAAGGCTTTCCACATCACAACTACCCCGACGACCGCACCACGATGATCCAGTTCGTGCAGCACAAGATGAAGCCACACGAGTCTGGAGAGCCGACATGCGCAGCCTCCTCGAACGGGCAGAACAGCGCTTCGCCGATGTTTGCTGGACCACCGCACACGACGACGCCTTGAACCATCGCGATCTCGATTCTGATCTCGGACACTCGACATATGCAGCCTCTTCCACTACAAGTCACACCAACTCAAACACAGCGAACAACGCATTGACACCACCGCCACGCACAACGATACCCGCCGCTTCTCCCAATTCGGACACCCTGATCTGGGCCCACAAGGCCATCTTGTACGCACGCGCTCCCAATTCCTTTCAAACCCGCTTCTTGAACCTGCGAGCACCTGCCGCGCAGCTCCAGCATATCGGCTCTACCGCCAGTCTCGTCTCGCTACCCCTGCATCGAAGCGAGTCCGAGCTGTCGCTAGCATCCAACTTTTCCACTTCCATCCAAACAGGCGTCGCACAGGCATCTTCCGCGAATGCGCCTGCCGCACGCCCAGGTATGTCAGCCCATCCTCGTCGGTCCATTCGCGGTGCGGCACCTCCAAGCAGCTTTCCAATGAAGAAGCCGTCACTACGCAAGCCAATCTCCCGGTCCAGCATATCGAGACCCCTACGCAAGGGCTCGATCGACGAATTCAACTCGATCGCTTCGGGTTTTGCAACCAGCGATAGCGAAGGAGAAGCCGGCTCCACCGTGAGCCTTCGTGCTTCCCGATTGATCAACGCAGGCCCCATTCCCACAACGACTCGCTCCGCTAGGCCCACATCACCCTCCAAGATGTCAGTCACAAACGTGCCCGTACGCAAGCCATCCTTTGCATCGGTCACATCGACAGCCGACTCGCACACTACATATGCTCAGTCCAGTATCAGCGACACCAGCACCGTTCGCACTCCCATCAGCCTGAAAGGCGTCAGCCCTGCATTCTTCGAGGCTACACTGCAGTACCTCTACACTGGCGAAGAAGCTATGGTCGATGCCTTTGAGTTTCTCTTCGAAGATCGTCTGGCCTCTGGTGTCGAGATAACCGCTGAAGAGAAACTCGACAAGCTTCGGTCCGACCTCACCTTCATGTGGCGAAGCAAGCTCTTTTCCGATGTCAAGCTCGTGCTCGGCGACGACGACGAGGATGAAAAGAGCGATGGCGAAGTTGCTTCCAGCATCATCAACAAGGGCCGGCGCCGCGGAGATGGACGAGCAAAGATGATGGACATTCCCGATGCCAACATGTCTGTCTTGTCGCTCGCTCAGACCATCGATACGGACAGAGTCGAGGAGTCGGACGCAGAAGAAGACGAGCTAACCTCGTTCTCAACACATCGTATGATACTCGCCTCGCGATCAGAGTACTTTGCATCGCTGCTTCTATCACCCTACGCCGACTCGCGGGCTTCTGTGCTCCATCTGCCGTCTCCGCCTTTCACGCCCGCTTCACTTCACTTTACACTCGGTTTCATCTATACCGGCACCCTCTTCTTCTCCAACAGGACGTTCGACCTCTCGACCGCCTTTTCGCTGTGGCGTGCAGGCGCTTACCTGCAGATAGAAACACTGCAGACACTGGTCGTCGCGCTCATCGATCGCGAGTTCTGTCACGGCTTTGCGTGCTCTCCGCCGTGTCGGAAATGCATCAAGCGCGTCCCGCGCACGCTTGCGTTCGCCACCAGCCCCGATGTCAGCGAGCAAGTGCTTCAAGGATCCGCCCTCGCTGCCGTCTCTGGTCTTCATTTCGGAATGTACTGGGCAAAAGATGTCGGCAACCTCGATCCTCTGCTGCAAGACCGGATCGTCGAATCCATCTCCGACCGCCTCGCTCAGGACCCCACTCTGGTCGTCTCCGTCCTGCGACAGCTTTCCATCGTCGGTCAGCGAATTGACACCGAACGATCCGCTCGATGGGTCGAATCGCTCCGCCTCATGGCCGAGACCATCTCGAACCGAGTCATGCCCATCCTGCACAACCACCTGGACACGATCGTGACGAGTCCAGCTTGGTCAGACCTGCTCGATGGCGTAGGTTCCTTGGGGGATGTGCTCGAGAAATGCCTCATGATGCTCATCGACGGTCTGACCGAGGCTCGAGCTGCACAGATCTACCAGACACTCGTCGGGCAGGTGTTGCTTCGAAAACAGGGGTTTGAAGTGGCCCAGTCGAGGCAGGCGGTGGAGAGTGCGCGCGGGAGCATATTGCGCTACCTGAAAAAACGCTGGATCAATGTGAGGGCGCTGGCGGGGTTCAACAGGTTGGAGAAATGGTGTTTGAAGGAGATCGCCGATGAACTGGACGTGACGACGACGGAGCTGTATCTGGCGGAAGTGCCGCCGAGTGTCAAGAGTGCGACGTTGCCGGGGAGGTTGATGGCTGCGAAGAGGTCGAGTTCGCTCGGCGGTGGAGCGGCTGCAGCGGTAGAGCGGAGGAGCAGCGCCGTTGGGCAGAGGTCATCGCTTGGCGGAGCGGCGGATTCGATTCGCACCAGCAACAATTCTGCAACTCCGACGGCCGCAGCGCCCGGCAGAGCTGCCACAGTGGCGAGGAAGTCGTTAGGGACAAACGACGGCGAGCGCGAAGCCGGTCCGATCCACATGCGAGCAGCTGTGCTCAATCGCAATGCCGCCAAAGTGTCGGTTGCAAACGGACACAGATCGCTTTCTTCTTCGGCATCGAATGCTGCGTTAGCCTCGCAGACGGCTCGCGTAGGCGCAACTCCGAACGGTGCTGCTTCCACAACGCCGAAGCGAACGACCGCTGCTTCGACGGCATCGAGCACGACGAAATCGACGGTGACGACGTCTTCGTCAACTCCCAGATCAAGCGCAGCAAACGGCGCTAATGCAAGATCTGTCACTCCGAGTGCAGCAGCGATCAGCAACACAGCAAGAACTCGCACAACGAGCGCCACCAGCACCTCCAGCGCCGCGACTGCACGCTCTACGA